TTATCTATTCAAATATGATATTCACATATTGTCATAATTTTTTTGTGAATCCGTTTTTGTGTTAAAAACATAATTTTAATCAATTGTTAAATTACTAGCAAATTAACAACACATCAAACATTATCGGTGCGAAAAGCAATGAAAGCCGTCGATTAGTCGACAACCTATGGCGCGCACTGGGCATCGACCCGACCATTACGCCCAACCACCTAACACTCGGTGAGATAGGTTTGGAGTCCATGTTTGCCATCGAAATACAGCAACTATTAGCCAAACAGTGGAACGTCAACCTGACTCTCAACCAATTGAAAACCGTAACCATTGGTATGTTTAAGGAGTACGAGGCGGGCAATGAGACTGCTATACGACAACACCTGGATGAAATTAAATGGTTTCGTAGCTCTACGTTGAAACAAAAGTTTGTGATTCCTGTCGATAAGTATATTCGACTGAATGATAAGACGGTCGGACGGCCCGTGTATTTGATGCCAACACTATTCCTCAACTTTTCACTCTTTGAAACGTTGGCCCAAAGGCTTAATCGACCGGTGATTGGCCTCACCTGGACCCGGGAGGTGAGCGCACTAACAGACAGTGTACAGGTGCGCCAGTACTACTCCGACCTACTGGACCAACTGGCCCCTAATGGTCAGTACGATGTGGTGGGCTATTTCGATACGGCATCCCTCTGTTCGGAGTTAGTGCTGAATGGGAGGGCAGTTAAGGGGGTAATCGTCGAGCAATTGGGTGAACACGTGATCGACGAGCAGAGGAGCGATGACTCTATGATTGAGTTTATGCTGAGAATGATCTCCAATGAGATACCAAACGCATGAATGGGAGGGCAGTTAAGGGGGTAATCGTCGAGCAATTGGGTGAACACGTGATCGACGAGCAGAGGAGCGATGACTTTATGATTGAGTTTATGCTGAGAATGATCTCCAATGAGATACCAAACGCCGTTCGCGAGCATATTGTAAGGGCGATGAAAATTGTGCCTGATAGAAAAGCCAAAATATCCACCTTGGTCACACATATCATAAATCTCTCCAACAAAGGCCTCATTTCATCGGACTTAGAGGAGATCTTTCACATAATGTTTGTCCGGATGTCAATGTTTTTGGACGATATGTCGCATAAGATTCGCGCGTTTAGGTCGGCATTCAAGTCGAATATCGCCGAAAAGTGGACCAAAATATCGGGCAAACTGACAATTATCCTGGTGAATTTTGCACACGATATAGACGATATGATTGATAGAACTCTAGAGAGATATTCATTGCCTGACACCAAGGTTTGGATAGATTTAGTTTGTTTCTACGTACAGTATATTAATGTGATAAATAATCCTGGTCGAAGCCCAAAATTAAACAAGAGTAGCATTTATGTTTTTAAATTACTAATATTATAATTTTTTTTGTTTATAAAAATATTTTTCAAAATATCTCAATAGAAATATTGTTATTTAATTGGTAATTATAATTATTATTATTTAACCAGGCTGGTATTACAAATATACGCGTAAAATGTGTGAGCAACAAGAGCAATGAAATGACCACGTCCATATTGCTTCTCAACGACTTATATGATAATATTGAGGAATCGCTAAATGCTTAAAATTTTTAATAAACTCAAATAATCCACATATTGTTTTTTTATTACACTTCTTTATATGACATTCAACATTGTAATTACATTATACAGTGCTCTAATATAAAATGTGTTTGAACATTTATACGTGTGAAAGTACATTTAAATGTAAAGTTCAGTAAAGTGTCACTTTCTGCTATGGTTGCCAATTCTTATTATTTTCAAACTACTGTAGGTTTGCAGTAATTCAGACAAAATTCCCGAAGAATTCTGGAGAAAAATATTTTTGCTAAAATTGAGCAGCATATCAGGTTTACGATAATTGTCTTTTTTAATACAAAACTCATGATTTCTATAGGAATTTAAAATACTGCCTAAGTTTAATTGGATTTTAAACAATTTATTTTAATAATTATTTTTTAGAATATTTTGAAATTTGGTTAATAAATTCTTTAACATTGTTCTTAACAGAAATTACAATTGTAACATTTGTTATATTTATAATAACTTATCAATAATAATAATTATATAATTTTAGAAAGATATCAATTAAAGAAATAAACTAGCAAAGTAGTTAATTATATAAAAATATTTGTTTGAACACTAAAGCAATATTTGAATTTTAATGCTTATTGTAATATTAATACAATTATTCTAAATATTCTAACAAAAATATACAGTTTTATATTATAAATAAACTCCAGCATTTAATGTAAAAGCTTTAACATGAGATATTTTATTTTAATATTTATAGCAGAATATTACAAATAATTTTTTAAAATAAAGGTTTCTAATTTAAAATAAAATAAACATATTTATTATTCAGTGTAAATTTTATATTGCACAATGAACCTTTTAATTCAATTACTAAATATTTTAAATAATTAATATTTTATAAATATATAGTAAATTAACAATTTAAAACAACAAGTTTCATTTTACAATTAATAATAATTATTCTATATTACATGTTTCATCGAACCATTGATCGTAATATCCACCTTTGACCCAGCTATTGCCGGGACTGTTACAATCATTTTTATCAAAATTGGTTATTATAAAATGTGTCCGACCATATCTAAGGTAATTATGGTATATCGATTCAGGTATAGCATGATAGCCATCGTCCTCAATATATAATCTACACTCATTATTTATATTATCGAACGCAGTTTGACTAATATTGCCAGTAGCAAGTGGATTTCCGTTTAAGTACAAATATACTTGGTTCTTAAAGTGTCTAGTCCCAATTGAAAACGCGTTGTCTTTAATAACGTTGATCGCGTTATCATTTAATATTAGCCTGTCCAAAACTACCATAATTGCAAAAGCATTCTGATTAATCGTAGTCAGTAATTTGTTACCGGTAATTCTGATATTATTCAAATTGGTCCCGTTGAAAGCATTAGCAGGAATATTTGTCAAACTAGTGTTGTGTAGATAGACATCTTGCATGACAGTTAAGCCAATTGCCCGGAATATATTGTACACCGAACCGGTATCAAACTGAATCGGTGTATCACTAATATTCAGCCTGTACATGCGCGATTCACCAAATGCGTTGCTGTGAATTAGACGTAGATTGTATGCCCCGGATATTTCCACGTCGGCAAATTTTAGGCTTCCGAACGCATTTTCGGGCAATTCAACAATTTGGGTGTTGTTCAAGGTGAGTTTTCCGAATGATGTATATTTACCAATTAGTTGCTGGCTCACGTTTTGGAATAGAGATTTGATATCAATGTAATTGTGCCCGCTACATACTACGTGCGTAAATCGAACTTCTGGCTGACGTGGATCTGTCAAATTAAATATGTTCGTAAATTAAAAAATTAAATAACATTATATAAGAATTTACTTACACGGTATTTGTTCATCGCATGTGCATGGTGAAAATATTTGCCCAACTTCAGAACATGGAAACGCTAAACAACAGCTTGCAACAAAAAGCAGCAGTGTAACTTGGTATACTAAATTGCCAAAAATTATATTTAATATATATACTACAATGTCTAGATTGTACTATACTTACATAGCATTGTTAGTATTTAGTATTTTTTGTATTCTCTAAACTTATTGAATGATAGTTAAGAAAATAAACAATCGATTTATATATACTTGTCGAGTCCATAATCTTTGTCACGCAAAGTCCTTAATCTTTGTCACGCAAAGTCCTTAATAAGCTAGATAAAATAATTTTTTATCAAATATTAGTATGTCAACATGTCGTATGATTCTAACTTAACATGATAGGATATATTGTTTAACATTAACTACCAAGACTTGCTTATAAAGGGCATATTATAAAAAATTTATTTTACTAATAATAAAGCTGATAATACTTATTTTATTTAATTCAATCACTATTTTTAACAATACGACCAGCCACATTATATACATGTATAATAACCTAGGTTTAAGTTTAAAATGAGTTTTAAGGACATTGTTAAAGAATCATATTGATATTAGTATTTCAATAATTATGTTACACAAAGCCCTTAAAACTTAGGTTATTATATATAATGTTTATATTATATATTATAAAGCTGATTTTAGTTTGAATCAGTGTAAGTGTTTTGATATCAATTTTTGAACGATAAATTAAACAAACTCCACCGGTTCAAATATAAATTCAAAATATTTTCAAATAAAACTTTTGACCTAATGTTAAATGCGTTTTTAAATGTATTTTTTTTATAGAAATAAGAATTTTTTTCAAAATATTTAACAGTTATTTTCCTAAATTTATAAAACTTCTGGATTTAATTAAAATTAAAATCGTATAATCATATTTTAGGTCCATTACAGCAAAAATTATTTGATTGTTAGCAAAATTGTTGGTATGATTGGCAGATGGAGTTAGATTTTGCGTACGACATGAGGACTACAGGTGAGGAGGGTTAACCTTCGGTCAAAATCTTGCGTACGCACTTATTGAATAAGGTAGATATGATATAAAGTTACGATTGTTAATGCATGCATGTGTATCAAAGCGTATTTTTAATATTTTTTATGAAAATTTTACACTTAAACAACTTGCTAAAGCTGTATATTTTTTAAATTATACTTGTAGAACAAAACTACTTGTAAATTAATCAGATTCTTAAGTTTATTTACTTAATTGTTAATTTAATTACATACTCTAACTATATTAACTTAATCATGGACTAAAAGTAGATTAAACCTACCATTACTATGAATATAAATAAAATGTCAAAGCTATTATAAATTATTATTAAATCTAATTAGCTTTATCAATCACACTAATATTCAACTTTTTATCATTATCTCAAATGTGTAAAATTCAAATTCAAAATGTAATCGCAACTTATTGGAGTTACTATTTGGATACCGAGTAGTTTGAATACTTAACAAGAATTGAAATAACATATTCTTATCAAATGAAGAAATACACGGTTTTATTGAATTAATGAAATTTATACTATTTTTAAAATTTCGGGAAATTCATATATTTACATATAAATAACACCCTCTTCTTCAGGGCCACCAAATTGAGAGAGAGAGAGAGAGAGAGTCAGTTATATATAGGTAATTATTGTTAAATATTAAATTATTATTAATTTTATACAAACATTTATGTGCACTATAACTAAATCAGTTAATAATTTACTAATTATAATAATAATCACATTTTATAGCTCTCTCTCCCATTATGGACCACAAAATTGGGAGAGAGAGCTATTAAAATGTGATAACGGTTATAATTACAATAATAATAGATACTGAATAGAATAATAATACATTTTGGGTGCTAGCTTATATAGTGTAAAGCTTATATAGCTTTACAAAATATGTTTAATTATAAATATCATTATTGTAATTACTTTTATATCCTATATTTAATTGAAATTTTACTGGAAATCAATAGTTATGTAAACCTTTAACAGGGAATAATTTTATAAACAAGATCGTTTTAGACTTTAGATTTATAAACATTAATCATTTAAAACTAGGCCACTACGTACATTTCAATCGATTTGTTAAGTGCTAATAAACTATTAATTATCTATGATATTATTTACATTACAATATAACAATAATAGAAATAGCTTAGCCATAGTAAATAAAGAAATAAAGGTTTTTATTTATACTGAGAAATTCGTTTTACTTTTTGTTTATTAAATGAAATTCATATAATTATTGATATAAAATATATTGGAAATATTATATTTAATATTTAATAATATCGGTTATTATAAATCAATATTTGTTAATACTATATTGATAATACATGAAATAACAATAAAAACAAGATAAAAATTCATATAAATATGGAGTGAATTTGAGTAAATGATATTATATTTTTATATAATTAATTATTATATTCTGTACAATATTCAGTAAATGTAAATAATTTAATGTTCCAAAAATTATTTGTTAATTGTACATTTGCTTTTATATTATAATTTAGATGAGCAAGCAGTTGATCTATTGTGTATTTGCCGTCATACTGATGAGCACCCTGGTCAGTGGCAATTGTTCTGATCGATGGATTCATTGCACTAAAAATGGCAAAGAGTTGGGCACAATGTGTGAGAACACCTGCTTCCGGTCGGCCCATGTTAGATGCGAACCGTGCGATAAATACGATTACCTTGCTAAATGCAGAAGTCATGGCTTTGATGCCGATGGTTACTGGATGCCCACCCACGGAACGGTCTGCCGATGAACACCCCGTCGAGTTCACTCAAATGTTTATTTAGTAATTTTACTTTTGTTTATTGGCCAATAAAATTAACTTGAGCATTTGAAAATTATTTCACGTATTGTTTTGTCGACTCATACTCTCTCTCTCTCTCTCTCTCTCTCTCAATTTGGTGGCCCTGAAGAAGAGGGTGTTATTTAAATGTAAATATATGANTATTATGAATATAGTTTATGTTCAGGTTAATCCATTGATTTGTGATTTTTGTATGAAATGGTTGATGGGCTGAGACGTGAATGTACGACTGGTGCTGAATCGGATGTGATGGCCGACCTCTATGGGAAACTAATTGTCATATAATTATACAATAGTTTGTTAGCCAATTAATTACCTAAACCAGCCGGTTCATATATGAATGGACATTTTTAAATATAATAAATACTAATCAAGAACTAATATACTTTTAATGCATAAAAATGACTAATATTATTGAAAATTGTTCTAGAAATGAGCTATTTGAATGAAGTTGTTTTTCGTATATATCCAGAATATTATGAATATAGTTTATGTTCAGGTTAATCCATTGATTTGTGATTTTTGTATGAAATGGTTGATGGGCTGAGACGTGAATGTACGACTGGTGCTGAATCGGATGTGATGGCCGACCTCTATGGGAGCATTCCGTGAAGGGGTTGACTCATTGTAAAGTTTATTATTTGATTGAGTCTTGAATTTAAATATTATTATTTTTATTTTGAATAAACTATGCTTAATATGATAATTAATAAAGCAACATTATATGTATTCCCTCTTGCAAAATATCAATATGCAAAATTAATAATTAACAGAGATATAATAATTCATTAAGAATTTATAATTATTATTTTTAATATTTGCTAACATTGGATAGACAATTAGACCAGAGTTCAAACTCAATGATGTCAAATTAGCCATCAATTCTAAAGTGTTCGGTCTAGTTTCAATGTGTGCACTGAATCGGAAGCATCGTGTAGTGAAAGTAAATTGAGTAGTTATTATTATCATGATTTGTTAGCCAGTAACATAATTAAAATTTTGAATTGACTAAAATTGGCCAATCAAGTAAATTGGCTTGTTAAATTCACGTTCAACCATCACTGACATCCTCATTTTGTCATTGAAATGACATAAATTATAAGAATTCTACATAAAATGAATGTTAACTGCTATGTGCCGTCAAATATAACATATTTCCAGAAATGATTACCAATATACTTGCAAAATGCAAATAACTTGATTTATTTTTTGGAATAAATGTCAAATTATGTATGTATATAATATTCAATACTTATATAAGTACTATGTCCCATATAATTTAAACCAGTATATTTATATTAGAAAATAATATTTAGGATTTGACTTCTTCGCCCCGCCCCGCCCCGGTGTTTTTCGCGCCCCGCAAAGAGAGAGAGCTAATTATATATTTAATTATTATTAAATATTAAATTATTATTAATTTTTTACAAAGTATATAATGTAGTTTAAAGTAAATACAGTTAATAATTTACTAATTATAATTATAAACCCAT